CAAGCTTGTGTGCGAGGTCGACGGAAGGCATTCGGGACCTGGCACGGGGAACGCCCGCCCCCAAGGAGAGCGACGGTACCGAAGGCGAGGTGCCACCTGCGCATCTTCTCCATCCCACGCGTGCGTGCGTATGTTGCGATTCTATTCCCGATGACGTGCGCGCTCCTCTTTATGTGGTCACTCCGCTCCGTGTGCGCGTTCTCGCTCCCGAGAAGGATACTTTCCAAGTCCCGATTCGCGGGCGTGTTCGCGTTCCCGCAGTACTGCCGGCATGGCCGAAACGCCGCCCTAAGAGCGGAGGCGCCCCCTTGTGGCCGGCGCGTGGCTCACCTTGTCGGCGTTGAGGCGCGTCGTCCGCGTCTCGGCGGCGCCGTCGCATCAGCTGATGTTTGATGCCCGAGAGCCACCCCGGCGAGCGCTCGCTCTGCCGCCGCCGCCGCCGCTTTTCCTCCTCCAGGGGGCGGATGAACAGAACCTCGCCGTCCACGTGCACCAGACCCGTCTGAAAAGGGAAACGCCGAGGGACGGGCGGTAAACTTGCTGGCCCGTTGTTGCCGTTCAAAGCGCCAGCTTTCCCCATTCAAACAGACGCGTCGCCCTCCGCCACCCCGAGTGCCGAGAGGGGCCGGGCGATGGGTCCTTATCGTATCGTCACCCGGATGGGAGCCTTAACACGGAAATGAAGACGATGTCGCTCACGCGAGCTCGCCGCCCTTGACGCACGGAGGGAGGCGGGGGCACGCGGCCGCAGCGAGACGGCTCAGCTCTCACGAGGAATCCGCTCTGCGTGCGTGTCCTTTGGAGGGCCCGGCCGATGAATCCGTTTCATCGGCGAGCTCTTTTCAAATCGGCAAATAGCGGCCATTTTGGGCCAATTTCATCACTTGTTTTGACACATTGCCACAACAGAAGACCAACAAACAACTATGTCTTTTTTTTTTTTGGGGGGGGGGTTGTAATTCATGGTGCAAATGATTGCTGATCTGTTATGCTAAATGTGCCAAATTTTGGAATCAGACACAAAATCCCACGTCAGAAGAGCCCGAGTCCTTTTGTGTTTGTGTGCGCGCGTGTGTGTGGGCGCAAGCGTACCAGGCCTCCGCAGGCCGTGACGGACACCAGCGAACCAGGTCGGTCCAGGACGGAGCCCGAGTAGAGGCAGAGCTGGTCGCGGGCCATTCGCACGCAGGTGGGCGGCGTCCCGCCGGCCCGCCGTTCCTCCACCAGCAGATGGGCGGCCAGCAGGCCGCCGTCGGCGCGGCCGTCCCTGGTGGCGTTGAGCCGGAGGTTCTGTCCGAAGGCCGCGAGCGATACCAGCAGGCGGTCCGGGTCGCCGGGCGCCGACAGCAACCTGGGGAACACCTCCGCCGATTCCTCCGAATCCGCGTCGCCGTCGACCATCGCCGCTGAGCAAAAGCACGCCGCCATCAAGTCATCAACGGCTTACGAGGCATCGTTTCGTTTTCATTGGTTTGGAAAAGAAAGCATCGCTTTTGGGTGAGTTGTTTTTTTTTCCTCTCCAAAAGATTTTTTTACTGTTCACTGCAAAGGAGCATCAATTATTCGCAGAGTTCCATGACTCCACCCGGCCCGATTTTGGCGGGGGCCTGCCGAACATCGAGATTTCCCCAAACCGACGACCCTTCTGTCCAAATGGCCACTTCAAACCGAATCCGACTCGGTTGCCGTTTCGGCGGCTTCATAAAGCCTAAAGCCGGCGGGGGCCGCCCCCCGATTGTAGTTGGGCCGCAACGGACTCGTTGCCGCCATGTTTTCGTGAGGCCATTTGTGCAGAATCGCGTCACGCGGGACTGTTTTGCGCTCCTTTCGGAAAAAAGTTGCTGTGGCTTGTGAAAAATATGTCCTTCGCGTGTATTTTTCGACACGGTGGACCGTGGAATCTCCACGGTCGCCTCTTTTTCAATTTGATGATTTCCATGCACTATTTTGTGGCGCGCACGGCGGGATCGCTCATGTTCGACCGCCCACAAAGTGTTGACAGGTCGCATGGTGGCAAAATGCGTGTCACCTAACCTTAAACGGGAGGGGGGGGGTGAGGACGCATGAGGGACGTCCACCGAGAAAAGCTGGCCATCCGTTGCCAGTGATGGTGTGGGAATGTCCGGTAGCCAAACAAACAAAAGACAGACGGACGGGGGGGGGCTACAGAGATGACTTTTATGGCACCCAAAGCCATTGCCTACGCTTGACTCCAAATGCTTCTCTTGGCTCCGACTTGGCCCTCAACAGCCGCTTCGCACAGACACTCAGTCACTGGTCATTCTCTTGGAGCAACGTTGAAAGTGACCAACGTTTTCAAGCCTTTCATATGTCATGGCGTCCCGATGGATTCACATTGGGACACAATTTAAACACATCTGGTGGGAGGGGCTGGCATGTAAACACAAGCGCGTGGAAGGTGTAAATGGAGAAATGAGATGAGCCCCGGCTCGGCTCGAGTCGGTCGGTTCGGACAACTTGGCGCTCATTCGTCACCTGCCTCGTCAAAAAAAAAAGTGAGCAGCTAACGCCCAGGCAAAGTCCATCTCACTTCCAGGTGTTTTCTGAGAGTAGATTGGCCAGAAGCTGCTGACATCTGTCAGTCGATCAGTCAGTCGGTCTTTTCCCCTCTCGGCTCTTGCGTGCATGCAAAAAAAATATTTTAAAAAAATGGGCACTCGAAACAAAAGCTTCGAGCGTATTCGGTCCAAGGACAAACATCGTCAAGGGGAGGACCGGTAGCCGAAAAGTGTCGTTCGGCGCGGTCCTCCAAATATTTGGCCGCCGTTACTCGGCAGGCAGCCAGCAGCGGCAGAGACGCAACGCGACGCGCAAGCCGCGCCGACTCGGGACTTACCGCACGCTTCCGCGCACAACAGCGCCACCAGCAGGCAAGACACACGGCCGCTCCGCATGCCGAAGCCAAGCAACGGTCCGGGACCGGGACCAGAGCCGCTCGCCAGCACCGGGACCGGGACCGGGACTTGGACTAACGTCGTCGGGCCGGCAAGAGGGAACGCGAGACGGCCACCCCGTTTTCTTCCCTCCTTCTTCTTCTTCTTCTTCTTTCCCAAAAGTGGATCAAATCAGGCGGGCCGAGGACACGCCCTCGGAAGCCGGCTCCGCCTTACGTCCGATGCGATTGGCCCGCTTCGACTTCGGGCCAGAGGAAAGCGCCGCCTCTCAATGGCCGACGTGGCTGTCAATCAGAGGGGGGCGTGAAGTGAAACCTAACGCGTGGTCTGGAGGGGCGGCCGCCGAGCCCGCGCGTGCGCAGCGGTTCCAAATCGTTTGGATTCGTTGGCGCTCCGTTGGAAATGGGACCGATTTCATTCATGTCGTCCTGCTTTGAAGCAACGTATGCCGAACTACAGGATATTGTTGTGGTGTGCATTGTTGGAACGAAGACAATACAGTATAGTCAGACTGAAATTAAGGAAACTAGTTTTTGTTATTGTTTTTAAAATTAACATGAACTCATTCACTCCTAAAGACATATTTGTCTTTTCACACTCCACACCTTCAACCCCAGATACCTTTTTTTTTTCAATTTTTCCAAGACTTAAAAAAAAAAGGGGGTCAAGAATTGGCTGGTACTGAATGAGTTCACATCAGTGGTGCTGTGAGGGCTTTTCTTCAATTATTTGGTTACGTGCTACTTTCCTTAACGTTCTTTCACGTCATGCGGCGTGGGAAATTGCAGCAGCCGAACATCTTCCGGTCAGACGTGGGGCGGCCGAGCTCTCGTTTCTCCATCGAGGGACGACGCTCGCCGACTGTGGGCCGCAACAAAGCTAACTGGCGCTACCGCCGCTGCCCCTCCATTTTCTTTCTTTGACTTCTCAACGTTTGCAGCGCGCCTGCTGCCACAACAATTTCAAAACACGAGAAAACTGCCGCAGTCGGGCAAACTTATCAGCTGCATGGATAAGATTTAATTTTGGGGGGCGGCGGGGGGTTGAAAACAAAATCCACAATGCACACAACCGATGAAACGCAAGATGGCGACGGGGCGCAGTGGATGTCGAACGTCAGGACGTCGCAGTGGTGGACACGAGAATATTTTGTCGTGTGGAAAATAGTTGGGGGGGGGGGGGCGGGATGGTTCAGAATGGGCCTTTGCCGGGGAATTTGTAGGCGGAAATAAAAATGTGAGGCAAGTGTGAATTTGGGGACCGTGGAAACTCTTGTGTCATTTCAATGGCTTGAGAAACATCGAAGGGGGACCCAAAGCGCCGAAACGAAATTGTACGTCGCACGTTGGCTTGGCTCCGGCCAGAATTATTTGGAGGCGGCCCTGTGAAACGCCAGGGGGGAATTTGTCAAGGGTGAAAAAGAGTGCGTGCTTGGAATCATCGAGCGGAATTGGAAGGTGACATTTTACTTTGGGGAGGGGGGGAAAAAAAAGGTGCACGTTTGCAAACGTGCGTCTTTTTGAAATGGGAACAAGTTGCGAACCGGCCAACCGGAACGTTGCTTGAACGCTCCTCGATGATGGAAAAAAGGAAGATTGGCGGGCCTGGAAAAAGGGGCCATCGGGTCAAAGGCAGTTTGCAATATCACGGGGGACCCGGCCACTTTTCGGAAGACCTTCAAGTCGGACGCGGTTGCTCCTTTTGGCCGAGGATCCCAGGGGGCGCGGGGCCACGTTGAGGCACTTCGTTGGCTCCCAAACAATCAACAGGAGGCGGGCCTGAAAATCAAAGCTGGGACTGGCCGGCGTCCGGTCCGGGGCGCGGAGGATGACTGACAAACTTGTGAGCGGACGTGGCTTCCCGCAAGCGCGTCGGTGGCGCCGCGAGCTGGAAGGGAGGTCACCGCCGCCGTCCGCCGGTGGCCGGAAAAGGAAAGGAGGAGCAGGACGACGAAGGCGCGCCCGGCGTCCCTCCCTCGCCCCGAGGTGGCGCTGAGGCCGCCCCGCCGCCGGCTCCCCTCACCGACGCGGCGGTGGAGAGGCCG